TGGTTTGGTCGCGTTCTCTGGCTTTTTTTTTATAAGCAAGTGGTTGGAAGCATATCTTATTTTTATTTTTGGAACGTCTAATCCGTGCTTCGAGGGATGCAAAAATTTCCAGCTTGAAAGATCCATTTCTTTTTTTAGAAGATATAACAATTTCCTGCGGAGTTCTCTTTTTTCGGATAGACGCAAACCCTCGTATCTTGATTAGATCATCTTCTGAAATTGTTTACGAGCGAAACTGTTTGATAGCCGCGCTGTGCTGCGTGCCGAGCGACGAACCGGCTCGTTAAAACCGCGAAGAAGGTGTCTAGAGGCCGAATCGCGGGCAACATCCTCTTCTGCGGTCTCGTCGTGTGCGGCACGAAGATCCGCTCATTGTCTCTCTAATGCATATTGACTATTAACAGCAGATCCGTTTTCCTTATAGGCGAGGATATAACTACGTCACGTCCTTATTCGCCAAGCGGAGACACCGGGCGGTCGCGGCTGCGTTCATCTTGGCATCGAGGCGGCCACCATATTCGGCGGACCCACCCACGCACAATGCCGGCCGTCTTCATAAAGATGCCTCGCCCGTCCCGACGATCGATCGGCAACGAAATATTTCACGGAGACTGCGCGGAAGCGGGAACGAAGAAAAATCGGGATTCACCAGGGCTCGTCCGTAACGTTACCCGAGATACGAGCGCGCTTAAAATAGATCTCCGCGAGCGATACCGGCTGGAAAGCGTAATTAGCAGGCCCCGATTACACGCCTGGCATTCCACGGAAAGTCTACATTGTCCTTTTCCTCCGCCTCTGCGCAGACGACCTTGCTCCGATTCGCGAAACGTCTCCGTTCAGGCTTCTTCGAAGATATTTTCCCGAAGAAATTTCTCGTTGACGAAAGGGATGAGGAAACGGGGTTCGTGTCATCGTAACCGCGGATCTCTCTGCACAGTTTTCCGCGTAAATTGCAAGAGATTCGAGCCTTCTTTTCGTTTTTCTTAACCGATTGCACTGCGATCTCTTTCACAACTGCGTTAATTAGCATTTCTACCTTCTCAGTCTATTGTATGTGTTTTTTTCATTCGTCATAGATCAAATTTCATTTCGTTTTAGAAGAACAGCAATTATATATTTATATATAAAATTATTTCATCGTTGTTGTCATAAAATTATTTATTTCTGTCGCTCGCTTTACGTGCCATCTTTTTTAGACTGCGACATCGCCCAAGCGCATAATTGTCTCATAGCATTTTATAACATACTTATCGAGCGATGTTTAGGAATGCACATATTTTGTTCCGTTTCCAAGCATTCGCAGCCGTTGGTACGAACTTGCATTTTATTTTCACGTCTACGTCTAGGTTAACAAAGCACTGACAACATTCGAAATACAGGTTCAAGTCTGGCACCAGTTTATGAAACGCAATGGTAATCCAGCGACGTGCTTAATAATCGGTAAAAATCGGCGACAGTATCGATAAGAATCAGCGAAAGATCTATAGAAGTCGGTAAGAATCCGTAAAAATCGGTGATAAACGTAAAATATCGGTGAGAATCGGGGTAATTGAAAAAATTTAAGAATAGAGGAGACAAGATTTATTATCGAAATTACTCGTGCAACGCTCTTGAATCTTGAAAATGCTAACCGATTTTGATTTACTTAACAGACTGTATTACAAATCGAGTTCGAAGTTTGTTAAAAAAACTGGGTCGACCATGTACGATCGGCATGGCTGTCAGGGTGTTGATAGCGTAATCGTGATACACTTTTTCAATAGCGCAATTACGATGTACTTTATCGATAATATAAATGGCATAAATTTTGTTAATATTATAACCATGATACATTTTTGAAAAGACTGCGCTGAATCGATTTTTATCATTCAAATTGTCGCGAAGTCACGCGCACGCGACTCCGGCCGTCGAAGTGTTAACGTTGAGGAGTGTTTTTTCAGGGGTTCTGGTAGATTCGCATTCCTTATATTAAGCATACTTATAGGTGGAAAGATGCTCTTTGATGCCGTGTAATTGTATTTCAGACTATCTTTGTCTGAAAAGCGAGTGAAATTGTACCGAGTTTAGGTAATATGCGATCGTTTCGAAGCAGCTGTCGTTTCTCATCTTCGCGGCTCCGTTAGAAGCTTTCCAAAGATTTTCGATAAATTTTAACTATCGCGTAATCTGGTCCACGAGCGTAAGAATCTATGGCTAAAATTTCGTGGACTTTTGACGCATCGAACGCTGCAAGAATCAATGGTATCTTCAGTGTTAACACTAGAGAATTACCAAACCGGTCAAACCGACTGGTTTCTGATTTTTTCTTTTACAGTTCATGATATTATAAAAGAGTTTTTCTAGGAGAAATATTTAAATACGCTTCTTAATCCAAGCACATATTATCGTAGAAATCGCACGAAGTTTAAATGAAGCCAATATTACCATTGTTACAGAACGGTAATTACAGAACGAATCTATGGCTAAAATTTCGTGGACTTTTGACGCATCGAACGCTGCAAGAATCAATGGTATCTTCAGTGTTAACACTAGAGAATTACCAAACCGGTCAAACCGACTGGTTTCTGATTTTTTCTTTTACAATTCATGAAATTATAAAAGTGTTTTTCTAGGAGTTTTCCTCTTTGATGCCGTGTAATTGTATTTGAGACTATCTTTGTCTGAAAAGCGAGTGAAATTATACCGAGTTTAGGTAATATGCGATCGTTTCGAGGCAGCTGTCGTTTCTCATCTTCGCGGCTCCGTTAGAAGCTTTCCAAAGAAAATCGGCGACAGTATCGATAAGAATCCGCGAAAGACCTATAAAAGTCGATAAGAATCCGTAAAAATCGGTGATGAACGTAAAATATCGGTGAGAATCGGGGTAAGAAGGTGGCCGACGAGGAAGTCAGAGGCCGCCGGAGGAAAAGAAGTGCACAGGGCAGAGAAAGAATGGTTCTGGTGGGGAAAAGGAGAAAGAGGGAACGAGAGGAAGACGGTCGAGAACGGTGGCTCCCGGCACGGGAGGTTTTCGAATGCGTCGCACGATTCGCTACGAAATCTCGGATTCTATTAACGGAGAAATTATAACGGATTGACGGACGCAGGAATGGATGCACAGACGGATGGGCTGTTGTGCCGCCTCCTGTCCCGCGAGAGAAGATTTCTCTTGAATCGTAAATACCGATCGGGCCCACGGGCCGAACGATGTTCCAACAGCGACATAGGCCTAAGTCGGTCTCCCCTGGCTGGCCGTGGTTCTACACGTTGCATGTTCAAGTACTTCCCGGTACAAATTGTACCAGAGGAGGACAGCCGTCTGCAGTTTATGCAACCTGGATAAGGAACGCATCCGCGTCAGTCCGCCCGATTTCAGTCCTCCCCTCGAGGGGAGCACCGCTTATCGAACAGGTAAACGTCGCGAAGTGACGCTACCGATGCGTGGCAGAACACCGTGGAAAATCGAGCCCGACCGGAAACGTGGAACGTGGCTGCGGGGCCGATCGATCGGTCGCCGATTTCGAAATCTTCGATCGCTCGTTGCCGGTAAAATCTTGTTCGGACGAACGTCGCGTCCGATCGATACATTTAAGCATCCCCTCGGTAAAAATAACTGATGGAACTCGGGGTATAGAGAACCTATCGACGCACGAATACCTCGATAAATGATTTCGAATAAACTTCATTTCGATGGACTTTCATGGGGACAACATTCGTTGATATTAGAACATTTATTAAAAGCTGAAAATTACTAACACGAAGTTTGTCAATTCTCTGGGTGTGCAAAGATTCTTGTTAAAATCAGAAAAAGAAAGAAACGAATTATATATGCGTTCAACAGTTGCACAGAATTTATATTAATACGACATACTTGGTGGGATCCGTTCACGTTATTTATTTATTTCTATGATGACGACAGAAAAATTTCTTCTAAACAATTCTATACCCTTGATTTATTTTATTATGCCCTAATTTTGCTATAATTAATGTTTTTAAGCGACCCGGCATTCTGCACACTTGTCAATTGTGGCGCCTCTTGCGGAGAAAAATTGAAGCTTAATTCGTGGTCCGTGCAGCGCTAATTGATGCAGCGGCAAAATGCTCAAACTGTTAGCTAAGGTCGACCGTTGATGATTTTGCTAACAGTTTGAGCGTTTTGCCACTACTCCATGAATTGGCGCTGTACGGAACCCGTACTGATCCTCGGTGTTTTTCCAGCAGAGGCGCTGCTGTCGTTTCCATTTGCACAATGCGGGATCGCCTAAAAACATTAATTATAGCAAAATTAGTGAGTAAAAAACTGAACGAAGACTACAGAATAATTTTAGAGAATCTCCTGCATCGATATCATATAAGAAAACAAATGATAACATTGCGTAACATAATTAATTGCACTTTGAAATTTGGTTAACTATTATGTCAACTAATTATGTTTTGTGTTGTGCCTTTAATTTACTTTTTGGTTGTCCGATTTTACCATAATTAATGTTTTTAAGCGAACCTGGATTGTACGCATTTGCACATATTAGCGAATGCTAACAGTTTGAGCGTTTTGCCATTGTACCAATTGGCGCTGTACGAGCTTCGAGATTTCACCGCAAAGAGCGCCACTTGTCCAAATGGCGCTGTTTTTCATTTTTCAGGAGCCGACGAATCATAACAAAAGGCTTAAGTTTATTTGAATGTAAAAGACTTATTGCTATAGACAAGGCTCCCGACGATGACGTAGATTGGTTCACCCACGGGTGAGTGAAAATGCGCCGAGGGCTGTGTACAGGATACGTGAACGCTATGGCAAGAAATAGGTCCGAAAAGATTTCGTAGATCCGAATAATATTCCTCTACTCGAAGATCCGCACAGATTTCTTCGATTCGATGATCCAGAGAGAGTCTCCTGATCACTTCTACATTCTCAGAATACTTCTTTATTCCCTAAACTGGCAAATTCAGAACTTTGAAGTTATACGCGGCAACATTACGTAAAATTTGACTATTCAAATTTTTCTTTGAACCGAATTTACGCAATTGGTATTCGTGGCAGAAAAAACTGAGGAGCGCGGTACTCTGAAAAACGTTTTCTTGGTCGAACCGATTTGTCAAACATGAAATGATGAATTTGGCACAATAAATTGCAGTGATCTTAAACATAATATTCTCTTTGTTATAACATGAAAATTGCTGGGGGGTAAGTGAGCACTGCCAGCGAACGCTAGAGTAATCTTTAAAAAATACAAATATTTTTATTTCTGCACTGTAGGACCAGAAAATGATGCACTCGTTAGAGAATAACTATCTCAGTGCCATCAGGGTCCTGTGACGACGAGGAAAGTAGGTTTGAACCGATGAGAAGTTTCGTACTTTGTGATACAATTCGACGATTAATTGAATCGTGTTTAATTAAATTCCGCGCAAGATGTGAAGAAAGTTGACGAATGAAATGAAGAAAATTTTAGCAATAGCAACTGGATATTCGCCGATTACTATCTTCCACGTTACGAGATTGCTTCAAGATGTACGAGCCGAAGAACTCCAAATTCTTAAGAAACTATCGCAACGTTCGCGACGATAGATTCGTCGACGTGGAAGGTAAAGTTGTTCAGTGTTCCTATCATTTTACAATAATCTCATTCTTTCGATTCTTCAGATATCACTACGGTTTACAAACATCCGGATCTCGTCTACATCTGCGAATACATAAAGGACCGGTTTTATTTCGCGACGCTAGCCAATGGGCGGAATTATGCGAGAAACACACCGAACATTCACTGTTTCACCACCGACGATGAACTGGTCTACAATAATTTTTACAATGACTTTGGACCGCTCAATCTCGCCTGTCTCTACAAGCGAGTTCAACTTAAATTATTTCATCTTCCCAGCTCGGTGTTTTCCAAACATAAATTTTAATATTTTTTAATATATTTCTTTTCAGTGAAGTTATCTACATCGATTGCAACAAACAAGAGTTAAATGCAAGCTTTCTTTCTTAATAATTTCATGAAAATAGTACATATACGTCCTAAAATTCTTGTAACATTGTTATTGTTTTAAATTTCGCCTGTCCTTTTTAATATGAAATGCATACAATCCGCAATCTAGTAATGTAATTCAAATGAACAAGATCTGAAATTTGCACGTTTTTATACATAAATTTATAACAGATATTGCTGCATGGTGAAGAAGAAGCTGCAGAGCCCATCTAACAAGCACAATCAAATAGTGCACTATACTTCGCAAAGAGAAGATAAGAGAGCGAACGCTGCTTATTTGGCAGCTTCGTATGCTGTGTTGTACTTGAACAAAAGCCCCAAGGAGGCTTACAACATTCTCTTCATTGGGAGTGATTTAGCAATAGCACCGTTCCAAGACGCTTCAATGGGCTCTTCTATTTACCACATCCACATACTCGGTAAGAGTACCATCCAGATGTTAAGAGGAGAATGCTCCCAAAAATTTGTTCTGCAAACATTTATTTTTAGATTGTTTAAACGCACTCCAAATGGCATCCTCTTTTGGGTTTTTTTATTTCGACGACTTCGATCTCTTCGAATACGAAAAGTACGAGGACATGAGGAATGGTAACATAAACTGGTTGGTACCGCAGAAGTTCCTGGCATTTGTGGGTCCCAGTACTGAACCGGGAACCCCATACCATCCCCCTGAATGTTACATTGATTTCTTTTTACAAAATGGAGTCACCGCTGTGGTTAGATTGAACAAGAAAGTATACGATGCATCGAGGTATTCTCCATTTCTCTATTAATTTCATCTACAAGTTAATAAAGTGAAAGTATAATAATATTTTTTTAAATAGGTTCACGACTGCAGGCATTTCTCACTATGACATGTTCATGCCAGACGGCACCGTTCCACCAAAAAGGGTTCTACATCAATTTCTTACGCTGAGCGAAAACACCACCGGACCGATAGCAGTCCACTGCAAGGTAATTGACGAGAGTCCCATTTTGCAGATAGCCTCCTCGTGTTCGCCAGATTAATTTTGTTGCTTATACGTCGGTATCGCAGGCTGGACTCGGCAGAACTGGTTCCCTAATTGCGGCCTACTTGATAAAACATTACAAAATGTCTGCAAGAGAAGCCATCGCTTGGATAAGGATTTGTCGACCCGGTTCTGTTATCGGGCATCAGCAAACGTGGCTGGAGAATGTGGAGAAAAATTTGTTGATCGCTGGCGAACAGTACAAGTAAACGAAAAGATTTATCTGTGCAATATTAAGCGAAATTAAATTTATTTTATGCTTGAAGTGTTCTAATTGAATGATCTGTGAACATAAACTTAATAATAGTCTGCGGAAAACAGACTACATTCAAGTACTATAATGTTTTTGTTACAGATTAAAGTATTTTGGTAATATGCACCACAAAAGAGGAATATATTCAATGTTGGACAAGATAGAAAGAAACAAACATGGATTACCGCGGATTGAAGGCACAGGTGAACAATTTCTATTTGTACTATAAATAGACATAAAAAGTATTTTCCAACATTTTAGAGCCAACGAGATACGACGATGCGCCTCCAGAAAAATCGACCAAGACAAAATTCACTCGAATTCTAGGTACATATGTTCTCGCCATAATAACAATTCTACGTTGTTCTCTTTTAACAGAGTATTTACAAGCAGAAGATCAATATAACTATATAATTATATCGAATATAATTATACAAGTCGCTGTAACAATATTAATATAATATTATAATTAATATAATTATAATATTATTATAATTAATATAATTATAATATTATTATAATTATAACAATATAACTATTCAATTTAGAACGCACCTTATCGTTCATTTCTCAAAATTATGGTAGTTTTGCTTGTAAAACGTTTAAAAATATTCATGTACGTGCCAAATATCGATCGATATATCGTTGACTACGTGCGCAGCCAAATTCAAATTGAAAATCTATCTGCTAGATGCGTGCGCATCTCTTTCTGGAAACGACCGTTTGAATAGGAAACTATCTAAATCCACTATTGTAATTTTCTCCCACTGATTTTTGAATTATGCACTGGGTGAATCTTAAATCCGCGTGAGTAGCGAATAAATAGATGCCCATAAACAATTCAATCATTCATCTGTTTTTTCCAGCCTTAACATGTAGTAGTTGAAAATTGCATTACCATATTACCTATACCAAATTTGGTGAAGTCCTCCGAGCTCTAAACAGATAAAAGTAACAACATACTGAATCTTCATTTCGTAGGTTTCGTTTCGTTAAATAATTGATTTCAATTTTGTAATTAGTGGTATAGTGGTAAACGCATTGAGTATGATCTTGGGAAATGATTTTTCGTTACGTTTTTATTGCAGGAAAATTAAGGAACATTCGAGGAGCAGATGATTCGGAAAAGGAATCACAAAGTACACGCAGCATGACACAAGGAGACCGATTGAACGCGATCAAAATGAGCAGATACAAGCAGCCTCGAAGTTCGGAGTCACAGAAGAATTGCCAGACCTACGAGCAAGATGGTGTCCGAAGCCCACATAAAAGGAAATAAAACAGGTAAACGATGAACAAAAATTTTCTGTTTTATTGCGTTCGAAAACACGACCGAAACGAATATTATCGGCACACAATCGATCGTCCTCGATTTGTCAGCAGAACGATCTTCCTCAAAAGTAATTACGTACATCGAAGGATTGTCGAAGTCAGATATCGCGGCAAGAGAAAAATGATTCAATAGAAAAATGGTTTTACACGATTTTTTATAGTCCATTCGATACAAAATGATTTCTTTTTCTCGTATAAAGTAAATAGAGAGACTTCTCTGGGAGATCTGCTCGAAGTCTGTATATAGAGAACGCAATTTCCGAACGTTTCACTGATTCAACATTGATTTTCTTTATTCTCACCGATGTCTGCATCGGTGATCGCAACGCACAAAAATTCTATTACTCTATATACTCGCTCGGAGATCATTTCCACGCAAAAATAGCTCGACGTAGCGTTGACAAAATAGGAGGTATTCGAAACAGAATTTGAGAAACAAGGACAGTCACGTTTGTTTTGCTTTAAACACTGTCCGCGTCTCCCAAATTGTCTATAGCCTAAACAATTATGCATCGATTAACACTTTGTTTTTAGTTGTTTCCTCGTTTCCCGCTCAGTGGATAGACGCAATGAGATCAATTCGTTTTCGAATTCGAATTCGAATAAACATTTTCAATGAGAGAGGCGCAGAATTCGAACAAAAATTTTATAAAAGTTCAAAACGAGAGACATACATGCTCGATATTTCCCTAGCCCGAAGTGAACAAGACAATAAAGCAGTCGCAATGTCTGTGCGATTTTCAAAAGTGTTAATCAAAGTAATCATATATATATCGTACAATATTTCACGTGTCCATTGAAATGGTCTTCGTTATTATATTTCACGATTATTATTCGTTACAGATCTTATAATCACTGTAGATTATATCAATTATATCGAGGTTTACACGATACATAAAACATAGCTCTGTTCTCGCGTACCCTATATACAGTTTACTGGGAACAACTCGGAATATAGGGTATCTTTATACGATTGTGCAATTTAACATCCAAGTGAATCGAAATTCGTAGAAAAAAGAAACGAAAAACGAACTTTCCGTTAGTCGCTGGATCGCGTCAGATTTACAGAGGAATCCATTGTTACATTTAAATACTAAAAAACACTAATGATCTAACCGGGCTCTGCGTTATACATTCATACCGCAATATTTACCTAACTGCACAGAGAGAAATATAAGAAAAGTATATTATCAACTAAATATTCATCTCCTTTTCTTAATTGTTTTTGTTATTTTTCTTTTTTTGCGTTTTTCTTATCTGAGTGTGTGTACGTATGTATGTACGTATGTGTGTTAATGCAAACAAGAGTAGTCAATGTAATTTGTCAAATCTTAAAGTCTGTCGTATCACAATGTTCAAGAGTGTACATAGATAGGAGTGTAAAAAACAGGCCATCTCTGTTTTAATTCCTCTTGCACAAAACATACGTTTTTATTTTCCGGTTAGCAGATAATTTGCGTCGTACTTCTTTTTTTAAAAGAGAAGTCATTGCTATCTTAAGAAATTATCGTATAGTATATTCAGAATACTATAATTCACAATTCTGTACAGAGACTGTCTCCAGGTTGGTACCAACACGGTCTCCAACACCCGAACGCTATGATTTTCTGGTTGTTCCGTTCATTTTATTTGTTTTGTTGCTTGTTACCTGGTAGCATACGTTACAAAATTTCCATTTATGAAACACGGGTATCTTCAGTTTTTTCGCGCTTGCACTAAGCACATTATTATAATTTTACGATCATTGAATCGTTATTGTTGTTATTAGTCGCGGTAGACTCATCAACTATCAAAAGTCTTATTATCCTGTAGAACTACTTCCCTCTTTCTTCCTCTCCCTTTTTTTTTGTTCTTTTCAATTTATCGAGCTCAAATGTTACAGTATTGATCGCTCACACAAAACCACTTTTTTTTGTCAGCTATATTTAATACTTATAACCAAAAGATAAAAACGGTATATTAAATATGATATTATCGAATATTGCGGACACTTGTACCCTTTAGTTGATGTTCTTTTTGCTTTTCTCACGCGCCTTTTTCTCTCCTTTTTATTTTCCCCAGGTGGATACAATCCAAGGAAGAATGTAAAATATTTATAAGCAACAATACATGATATTCAAACTGATATCGCCTGGTTCCTGAGCTTCGCGCTGCATCGCCTTTCCTCAGCAATCGATAAAATCGTTTAACTGGTTTCCTAACATCCTCGTACATGCATTTAACGTTACAATTACTGTTACAAAAGCTGCGTCGCTATCTGACAACGTGTTGCTCTTATCACTTCCCACGCAGCCTTTCAGAGTAACTGTTATTCTGCGATTGCCAACGTTAGAATCTTTCTATTCCATTTTACATGTTTGCTTTGTTTTTTTTTTGCTGCATCTTTCCAACGCCATTTCTTTCTGTTAGCTCTTCACAGAGCACTCGATAATGCACCACGTTGCACGAATGATCAAGGTCACGCGGCTCTGTACAAAGTTACGCTTGCGATGTGCTGATTCGCCATGACTTCGACGATTGCGTCGCGGATCCCGTAACAAAACGTGCATCCGAACGGATTTGTTGTGTTCGTCGAAGACGCTCGATTCAGGACCACTGGTCTTGCACTCGCCTTCAGTTGCTCACTTATTCTATCCCATTTGGTGTAGGCAGTGATCTGAAAAACAAACACTAATTAACACTTCTTTCTTATCTCAGGTGTCACGCTTAGGTAGTAATTTGGATGCTGTAATTGTGATGTGAGCATGTAGAAAGTCAGAAAAATATAATTTATAACATTCTTTCTGGTTGATCTCGAATGATAAAATAGTGCACATGATAAGAGAGTAGAAGTCAAATAAATTCGATGTCTCACCATAACTGGAGAAGGGGAAACATCAATAAGCTTTCCCGATTCAGTGGAATTACTCTCTGGTGGCAAGGAAAGTGAAAATTCGCAACGGTGATACATATTAAAGTTATAATGTCCCGGATAATTCGTATGTAAAACAAATTTTTTAACACACTGAGTTTTCGCATCAAATAAAACGTCCTGGAAATGTGACATATTAGAAACGTTCTGTTCCCATTATACAGAAGATAGATGTTTCTTGTTGGAACTTACCAATCCTAAGGTAAAATAATTATAGAAAAAATCAGATCGTCTTATTTTATCGCGTTTGTGCGCATGTGGACTGTGAATCCGCATTTTGTCCTCTGCTTTGAAGAACACACGTGACGGTGCGCCTAAGGCGCTCAACACATCTTCACAGGTATCGCCAAATAATACCTGAAAACGCAGAATATTTGCAACTGCTCGTTTCATTCATCTAGCCGAATTATGATAGACTACCTCCTTGGTCAAGCAGTGTTTCTTCGGCTCCAGTAATACCCTGGTAACAGAACTGCCTTCTGTGAAGAGATGCAGCCTAAGACCTCGGGTACGAGTCTTATCTCGCATAACATCTGCCTTCTCCAGATATAGATTGTTATGATAACATACCTACCAAAAAATAGATGGATGATATTGAAGTTGTTATGACTAATGTGCACCTTAGATCACAACACTAACAAACAATAATTACAAGTGGTAGGGGAGGTGGTGGTGTCTTTAGATTATGCTCGTCGCTTCCACTTCCAGCAGCCATGTTACCAACATATATAGCCGTTTTAGCGACAAGAGGGGAAGTTCCATTTGGAAATTGTAATGACCCAAGTCCATGAGCATACCCAGGCTGAAACTTTGAGTCGATAGGGAAGTAAAATGACAACCCTCGGAAGTTTAAAACAAACACCTACAAACAGAACACATATTGTCAAGCGATAAGTAAATTGTCTGATATTCTCTGATTAATTAATAACATGGAGACGTTGTACCTGTTTATCACTATCGTATACGCCAGGATGGGTAGCCCCAAACGAATGCTCAATCTGTTCGATAGATGGCAATACCTCTGGTGAGTTGAATGGTAGACCACAGTACTTAAGTTTCACTAGCTTCATATTATAAATTTCAATTATTTTTAATCTTTGTACTACTGGGTCAAATATAAGCCGAACGCCGTCGTGAGGTAAATTTATCACTAAGTCTACATCTAAAGGATTCTGAAAATCAGACCAACGCGTAAGAGTAATTGATAGACCTCTGCGAGGGGTCTTCGGATTAATTTACATAAACGTATATACTTACACTATCGCTATAAAGTACTTGTACTCCCCTTATAATGCCCACTTGGGATTGTATTATTGACACAGACTGGGAAAAATGCATACCTAGAATGACAACCAAAGTGAGAAAAAAAGGATGGTCCGACAAGTGTGCGGTGTGAACGTATGTCCAACAACAATTTCATTTCTGCCAGTTACGCATTATTCCATATTAAATACGCATAAATAAACTGCTGGCATGACTAATCGACTCACGACGGAACGTTTCTGTATTTTTCAACGGGTGGCACAACCGCGAGCGTCTATTTCTGCTAAATTATCAGTCCAAGAATGGATTCCCACCCCAGAGGAGGCTCAACGAAGTAACGATGGTTGTCAACAATTACATAATGTGCAACAAAATATTTATTAGCGATCTCCATTTTCTTTGTTTACGCGCATACGATTGTCAGCGGAGGTGTTTACAAATAGAACTGAATTACGGTTGTGCGAGTGTACGAACTCGTTGGTGTACGACAGCCAGCATCAATAAAGACGTACTACGGGCCAAAGAGACGCCCGTGGGATTTCGTTGATCATTTCGTGGTCCCGCGGATCGATTCGGATCAAGATTGACACGTTTGAAAATTACGCGTAATACGGAATAGGCCGCGATACATTATGAGTGGTTTCGTCACTTGCCTAAAATAAATTCCCACTGGTCGCAGCCGAGGGATCTCTCGGGCACCACCTCTAGCTCCAACATTCTACAGACTTCCCCCTGGGTTGGTTTTACTTAAACAAGGTAGAACGGCACGCACAACGCGTCTCCAACTACCATGAGAACTGCGTGTTGCCCCTTTGTCTACGTATCGCACTGTTACTAATCACCAGATAGCCATATTGCTTCCCAAACAATAAGCCTCGACGCACTGCTCACGGCTGGCAAACTGTCACCCGAACAGCTGATACGTACCGCGGAACATGTAAAATCAAACCATATTACCGACCAACCAAACTGGCCATTTTGTTCACACGACAAACTTCGCTGCAACTTTGCTAGATGGCGCTGGATACCCGCATCATAATGGTCTCGATTGAACAAGTCGTCGCTCCACTCTGCCGAATTTGTAATTCCAAAAGTATCAGAAACATTTTCAATTTCTCATAAAAATTGTAACAATATAATCTTCATGTAATACAATGTTTATTACAGTAGATATAGAAACAAGTGAACGAACTATTAAATTTCATACAAATTTTGTAATTTGAAATTTTATCTCTTGTTTTCAGGATAGCGCTTGTTAGGAACATTCTGCTAGACGAGCTGTGCTGAGGCGTTTTTGACCCGTTTCATTTGTAAAAGAGAAAAAAAGGTTAGTTTGCAATTGATGGAATGAAAATTCTGACATGGGCCAGATGTGTACCGGCCTTAAGGCGGAGACAAAAATAATCGAAAATATATACAAAAATCACTTACAGGCAAAAAATATACAGGGTGTCCCAAAATTATAGTATTTCCGGGAAATAAGAGGTTCCTCCTGAGGTCATTTGAATCAACTTTTTCCTTAATGAAAATGTAATCCGCGGATTTATTTGCGGATTATTAACGAAAAACCAATTTTCCAATCAGTGACCAATGAGAGGCGAGCGCAGTTCCATTCATTAGCTCGGCCGCCTCATGCCAGGAGAGCTCGCCTCTCATTGGTCGCTGTTTTTTGTTAATAACTCGTAAATAAAGCCGCGGATTGCATTTTCGCTAAAGGAAAAGTTACTTCAAATGGCCTCAGCAGCCCCTCATTTCTTGAAATATAATTTTATAATAATTATTTATACCATAATTTTGGAACACCCTGTATAAGCATATATACAAACATATACAAAAACACACGCACTGCGGTGGATAAATAGCGATCAAAGAGCAAATGATGAAAACAATATCTTTTTCTAATCAGAATATAAATATGCATGAAGAAACTAGTGGACTTTGATGAAGATACTTTTTTTTTATTTGAAATGAAGATATACTAGTGAGGCAAGAGAATCGCCAGACGTCAGGACTTTTTTAATGGAGCAATTTGATAAACAAACAATAGGCAGTTGAAATTGTCTCGTATTTCAACTAACAGGGAAAAGGGGAAAATCGTATAACAATGGCAACGATAATACTGCTCATTATTGCGAGGGTTAAAGATCATAGATAATCGTCTGTCTGGCTTTCTGTCCAAGCGTCGCGGGGGTCCTTTAATCAGGAATATGTGAGGCAACTGTCTGATGAGATGAAAAACTGCGAGATCGATTTGGAAATCATGCTAGATCCTAAAATAAACCTGCCAAAAATCACAAAATCGACAAGAATCAATTTTGCATGCTATTTCTAACGGGAATTCTTATCGTTATTTGTCAAACGAAATAGTAGATAAAAGTAATCAAGTTATCTAACAGCTGAAAACGAGACTAAAATTTACAATATATATATATATCGATTTCACACTGAATAAATATTGATTTCTAAATTAATATTATATTAATTACTGTTATATTTCCTCCAGGGTTGAAGATGAAGGAGTGATATTCAGAATGGAATCGTTGCTGCTGAGGAGGGATGAAGATCCGAGGAAAACAAATTGGCCAAGAGAGTGGCTTGAATCGATAAAATAATGGTATTGACTAAAATAGTCTCGCCTTATGAAATCGTTGTTGATATATACAAATCGCGCCGCCGTGCCTACTCACATTATGCAATCAATAATGATAACCGCATCGTCGAACATACAGTCGAGCCTCCAGATACGTCAAACACGCGCAACTCTAGTTGATTGTTGCGTGTGCGTCGCAACTATTTGTGCAGAGGGTATTTGCAAAGCTTGCAGACATTGGGTCGACATTATAGATAATCCAAACGCGAAGAAAAAAAAGTCAAGAAGCGGCAAATTAACTTGAATCGATTGGCGTGATCGTTGATCAGGACAAAATCCACAGATCCAAATTTTAACGTTAATAAATTCAAAGGGATCGGGTTTACATACGATGATATACAAGTTTTCGATCATTATCATGGAATGTATTCTTTCCAAGAAACTGGATACCACGATGACATTTGACACCTTTGCTGAAACAAATTCATGGGATTACCCGAAATATCAGAGTAGAAAAAATAAGCGATAACGTGGCCCAATGACTTCGTGAACCAACGAGTTAAAAAAAATATGCGGCATCCATGCTATCGATCATCGGTGAAAATAATAATAAAAGTTTCTGTTCAGCGATTTGAGAACAGTTTCTTTAAACAAAATTTGAATCAGTAAAGAAACACAATAAGACAAATGTGCGCTGCTGTATAAATTCATGATTAAGAAAACTATACTTTCCACCGAGACAAANCGAGCGCAGTTCCATTCATTAGCTCGGCCGCCTCATGCCAGGAGAGCTCGCCTCTCATTGGTCGCTGTTTTTTGTTAATAACTCGTAAATAAAGCCGCGGATTGCATTTTCGCTAAAGGAAAAGTTACTTCAAATGGCCTCAGCAGCCCCTCATTTCTTGAAATATAATTTTATAATAATTATTTATACCATAATTTTGGAACACCCTGTATAAGCATATATACAAACATATACAAAAACACACGCACTGCGGTGGATAAATAGCGATCAAAGAGCAAATGATGAAAACAATATCTTTTTCTAATCAGAATATAAATATGCATGAAGAAACTAGTGGACTTTGATGAAGATACTTTTTTTTTATTTGAAATGAAGATATACTAGTGAGGCAAGAGAATCGCCAGACGTCAGGACTTTTTTAATGGAGCAATTTGATAAACAAACAATAGGCAGTTGAAATTGTCTCGTATTTCAACTAACAGGGAAAAGGGGAAAATCGTATAACAATGGCAACGATAATACTGCTCATTATTGCGAGGGTTAAAGATCATAGATAATCGTCTGTCTGGCTTTCTGTCCAAGCGTCGCGGGGGTCCTTTAATCAGGAATATGTGAGGCAACTGTCTGATGAGATGAAAAACTGCGAGATCGATTTGGAAATCATGCTAGATCCTAAAATAAACCTGCCAAAAATCACAAAATCGACAAGAATCAATTTTGCATGCTATTTCTAACGGGAATTCTTATCGTTATTTGTCAAACGAAATAGTAGATAAAAGTAATCAAGTTATCTAACAGCTGAAAACGAGACTAAAATTTACAATATATATATATATCGATTTCACACTGAATAAATATTGATTTCTAAATTAATATTATATTAATTACTGTTATATTTCCTCCAGGGTTGAAGATGAAGGAGTGATATTCAGAATGGAATCGTTGCTGCTGAGGAGGGATGAAGATCCGAGGAAAACAAATTGGCCAAGAGAGTGGCTTGAATCGATAAAATAATGGTATTGACTAAAATAGTCTCGCCTTATGAAATCGTTGTTGATATATACAAATCGCGCCGCCGTGCCTACTCACATTATGCAATCAATAATGATAACCGCATCGTCGAACATACAGTCGAGCCTCCAGATACGTCAAACACGCGCAACTCTAGTTGATTGTTGCGTGTGCGTCGCAACTATTTGTGCAGAGGGTATTTGCAAAGCTTGCAGACATTGGGTCGACATTATAGATAATCCAAACGCGAAGAAAAAAAAGTCAAGAAGCGGCAAATTAACTTGAATCGATTGGCGTGATCGTTGATCAGGACAAAATCCACAGATCCAAATTTTAACGTTAATAAATTCAAAGGGATCGGGTTTACATACGATGATATACAAGTTTTCGATCATTATCATGGAATGTATTCTTTCCAAGAAACTGGATACCACGATGACATTTGACACCTTTGCTGAAACAAATTCATGGGATTACCCGAAATATCAGAGTAGAAAAAATAAGCGATAACGTGGCCCAATGACTTCGTGAACCAACGAGTTAAAAAAAATATGCGGCATCCATGCTATCGATCATCGGTGAAAATAATAATAAAAGTTTCTGTTCAGCGATTTGAGAACAGTTTCTTTAAACAAAATTTGAATCAGTAAAGAAACACAATAAGACAAATGTGCGCTGCTGTATAAATTCATGATTAAGAAAACTATACTTTCCACCGAGACAAATCATTTTACACGTAGAATTTTGTTTAAATAATCCAACATCGATTTATTATTACACGGGATTCGAAATTGTTTAGACGAAGACTTGTGGACATTTTGAAACACCAAACTGTTATCTGTTTAGGAGAAATCTCGGCAGATTTTTCACGTTGTATTTTATCGTCTGCAACGCAGTCGCGCCGGATATCATTGTAATTAAATGCCAGGGGTAATGAAAAATGGTAAACGCTGATAAATCCGTCAGGGAACATTGCCTTGGACTAGACACGAATAAATTGCCACAATGTACTTAGGAACAACCGATCTCTGCACACAAACAGCAACTTAGAAAGTTAATCTTTCTGTGCAATCTCTTCATGTGCTTCATCCAAGCACATAAATTAAGATTGCAAAATTCAAATTTTCGGAAGAAACAAAAGAATTAAAATATTTGCAATATTTGCAATATTCTGCGACGCAGATTGAAAATTGGTGCAAAAACATTTTATCAGGGTCACGAGAAACATCGGCAACTGTAATTGAGTCAGTTACTTGAATTATGTTTTAACACGAACTGAGTATGAAATAAATATTTAGGAATTAATTAAAATTTATCAAATACTTTTGATTGCTGGATCAAATCGGAAGAAACTGTCTGTCAAGAAATGTTCGAGCGGATCGCAGAAATTTTCCAGGAAATTAATCACTACGATTAAAGACAAACGACTCTGGACCCCAAACAAAGTTCGAAGATCTCGAACCGCGAGAGATCTCGATGAACAATAAAATTGTATGAATTGCGTATTGACCAACTTAGATCAAAGTACAATATGCGAACACACAGTTTCTTCCTCTGAGCAATCACGTCTCAACAATTTACGCTTTTTTCGTCGTGTTTGCAAGCGAATTTCTGTGCCTTAATAATTGCGAACGTTAGATAATTCATTATTGATATCACCAGGATTTTCACTGTCAGATACTGCACTTATTTCGAGAATCGTTATCGTCGATTTGCAAACGGAAAGATATTGTTCTTTAATGCTATTGAATTAACGCGATAACGTTTTTTTGGCGATTTTCTCATGCTCGGAGCTGCATCATGACTGAAACTTAGCTTTGGAAAATTTACGTGAACAGAGTCATTATTAAGGAATCAAACAGTCGCAATTTATCCAAAAAAATTTTTGTTTTGCATAAAGATCCGCACGGTCCAATCATAGAATGTTGGACAATCTCGATCATCGTGCTCGAAATTCTACTGCAATGCACTTACGGATCTCATTACACCGCAGCTTACAACAATGCATCTCGTCAATGAAATCCGCTACTAGCCTGGTCCGTGGTTCACTGTCTAGCTGCGATAATTTACGGATCCCACATTTCTCGGAATAAGGACGGATCGATGAGCCTATTCGAATGACTTGCGAAAGAACTGCACCACCTCAGAATGCAAATAGTTACATCAATAACATTTAATGGTTAATATCGGTTACATTTTATTTCATCTCCGGGAAAATCGATTTACATACATACCTAACCAGGGATCATCGAAAAGATACAAAAACAGTTGGTCTCTTATCTCCTCCGATATCTGCAAACAATTAATCATGCACGTTGACGATTCAAGTAAAGTACTCCTGAAAAAAATTGCTTGTTCTCTTTATCTTGAAAGAATTGATTCTGTCTCGATGGTGACTTAGGAATTATACTTTGAACTATATGTATAAGTAGGCTCATTGATTAGATATCGACTCCGTTCGATAATGATTGATTCTGAACATTTTTTAACGAATTTGAAAACACTCTCTCGAATTTATAAACTTGAATAGCATCTGCACAATGATCTAGGTCAGCAACCGCTAGAAATAATTATTTTACAACTTCGATCGATATCTGACTAGCTGTTACGTTTCAGGTAGAATCGTCGCAGATATTTCCAAAACACCGACTTCCTGCTGATGTCTTCCTCGCGAACTAACATTCCGCTTCTTGGTATCGTATTATACTACCAACACTTGACCACCTCCATTGTCCTGCGATATTTCCATCAACAACTTTCAAAAGCGGAATTCTTTTCAGCAATGCAAGAGGAAGTAGACAAGCGGTACGCAGAAGAAGAGTATAGTTCTTTGATTACCGATGGATTGACAACAGATTGATGGTGAAATTGGCTCGCGGACGGAAACGCGGTTCCAAGTCATTAATTAGAAAGTACTAACGCCGTGGATTCTGCGCATTTACAGCACTCCTGAAGAAATCTTTTTCCTAGTCTCTACAATTTATTCTACACTTTATCAACGCATAAACATGTTTGCTCGTTAATTCGATGTCCTAACATACACGAATTGCGCTTGTTTATTATTAGGTTGCGTAGTTTATGCATTTGTGATAAAAATGAATAGATGAAATATAAAGCTGTGAAGATATAATAGAAGAGTTTAAGAACATTGTTCTACATATTTTTATTTAATCTCTCTCTTTCTGGACATTTTTATTATGCATAAAAATCCGCAATCTGCTACTACTTAACTCTTACGTCGACACCTAAGTAGCTGTACTTTTAATTTCACTTGAAAAAGCTGTATATAAACTAGCAACGAACAGGAAATAACGTTACTGATGAAAATCGTTTTACATAAAAATATGCGCTGAAAACTATGAAGTCTAATGACTGCTACTAGGAAGTCTAATGACTGCAACTACGAAGTCTAACGACTGCAACACTATTGAACATTCTGTGTATTGACATAAGGGTTAATCATGATGCAACAGTTCTTGCATCAGAACTGTCAAAGGATACGAACCACCGCTCAAAACTCTTTTTCACTGTTGTACTAACTAAGCGGTCCAATCGCGAAGATCTCAATCCGAATCTCTGCTCTCCCCCGCAATTAGCTGTCGCGTCACAAAAGTAAAAACAATCTGTACACGCGGACCGACATGTCACCTGCCTAAAACCCAGCGATAATTCGCGGTGTTCGAGCAGGCTTGTCAGTTGACGAACAAGCGTCGCGCGGCGAACCAGATAGCGTGCAAGGGAAAGCGTTCGCGCAAAAATAGAAGAGCAAGTGTCGGTAACAAGCTTTCAGTGTAAAACTCGACCAGCGGCAATTTCGTGTTAATGCTTGTCGAGCGTGGGCCGACTAATCGTCCGGCGATTGCTTTTACTTCTATATCGTGACCGGTCCGGGTTAGCCGCAGTCTGTCAGTAGCCGTGTGATCGGCCGTGTTCGCGGTGGAAAGCTCTGTCAATTGTCATCCGGTGTCATTACGCTAAAAACTCTGTTAAATTCTCCATTTAATTATCCGCTGGTCCAACAAACGATCTCTGCACGACCAGCGTTTCGCATTATCCCCGACTAGCGAAAGATCCATAGAGTCCAGCGCTCCTAACGCGCGACTGATTCAGCGATCGTTCACGCATCAGCCTCATCGGTCTCCCCACTATCCACCGGAAGTGTGCGACACCACCAATCCCCGGAACGAAGAGCTAGGGCTCGTCATTACCTTTGTCGATCCTATAAAAGAGTTCATCGAGCGACATGTCTCTGCGAATCGATCTTATTCGGTGGTCAAGCCTAGCCACCAGTCTCAAGACTTCCAGACGGTTCTCCACTCTTACTGGATCAACCCTTGGACACAGGGTTTGCTGTTCGGGATCACTGGGAACAGTCAATGCATCCAGAACCGGTCAGCAGACCGTGCGGTTCGCGATCTTGAGCCATCGAATCATTCCCAACAGCTGCGGAATGCCTCACGCTGTCGACGTTTGCTACCCACAGTAAGTAGAGAAGAGGATTCGTTGGAATTAGAGACCGCAAATGTTAGGAGAATTTTGAAATTGTGTAAAGGATTAGGAGAAAACATGTCTAGTAGACACTTTCTTCTCACCGTTTCTTCAGGAAATATTGATCTCGTTTAACGATCAGCAACTTAGTAAGGATCGTTCGGATCTAACTTTTATTAGAAGCAACCTGGACTTTAAACTTTTGCCACTTTCCAGCTCTTGCGAAAACAAATCAGATATTTTAATTTATTTCGAAACATTTATTCATCAGTTTCCTTATCGCAGAATCAATATGTTTCTTCGATAACAAACAATCCGATATGCGTTATCACGACGAATTATAAATTTTACCCAGAATTCTAATTACTAAATGAACTTCCTGAGTGTTCGGAGCATCTCAAGACTTTGATCCTTACATAATAATCTTCGCTGTCCTCTCCGCAAAATAATTTTGCAATTTTGTTTCATAATGCGATAAATTTCCTTCGCCGATTGGTTCAAGAAAATAGACATGATATTTAACAAGCGAGTTCGTACACTGAATTGCATCACATAACATAACGAACACTATGATTGAGGATAATTTAGCGTAAAAGTCACTGACACGGTGAACCAGAGGTACCGACTTCCATGCGGCACGCTAGAAACGTGAAAATTCATTTTTTACCTGGACAAGGTCTTTGACGAAGTGAGAGTGGATCGATCGAGCAACCTGTTACACAATCAACGATGCAGTCTAATGCTTGGTGCTCGATCTAATGCACTTTTGCTTAGCGGATCGACGTGCCGAGAAGCTCCCGCAAGAACTCGGCAAATTTATTTCGTGGTGAAACTCGCAGAATCGCTAAAATAATTCAATATAAATATTTTCTCGATTGTGTATAATTACGAGAACAGTGATCTTTGCTAGAAGAGATATCTTACTTGAATGATTTAACAAATTGTTTTTTTTGCAGGGTGCCGAGGCTGCTGGTAACTCACGCAGCCAAAATCCCGGCTGTGAACAACAACTATGAGTTAATTGGAAAAACACCCTTGCTGAACAGCCCCGCGGAGCCTCTAGCTCCCAAAATTCGTTCCTACATCGAGGAATGCGTCACCCTCTGCAACCCAAAGGACATATACATCTGTGACGGCAGCGAGGCGGAATACAGCCATTTGTTGCAGCTGCTGGAGAAAAATGGCACCATTTCACCATTGCCGAAGTATAAAAATTGGTAGGTAATGATCTAGAATAATTTTCATCGCTGCAGAATAGATCTACGAAATGGTAAAGTTCCTCAGATTGCACAGAATGATGTGCACGCGTCAATAGAATCATCTACAGAATAACTTGCACCGTATAGCATGCTCAGGAAGTCACTCGCGTATGTGACCGTTCTTATTTTCAAATTTATTGACATTTTTCCAAAATTTCTTTAAATAACTCTGTCTTTATAAGGTTTTAGCGATATAGAACGAGATCTATAAGTTCTCTTTACCATCCGGAAAAGCATATTTTAATTTCCATCTGATTTACTATAGTGATTAATCTATCATTGAACAACGTGATCGTTATTGAAAGCCAAATATTACGATAGATACATTATAAAGGCCCGATCTTTAAAGTGCCGAAAAATTTTTGCAATGCTACTAATTTCAATTTCGAGATAATCTCTTACTCATTACGCTAAATTCTCAGCTGGCTGGCCAGAACGAATCCCGCAGACGTGGCCAGGGTAGAGAATCGCACGTTCATCAGCACCGAAACGAAACGAGAAACCATTCCCACTCCTCGTGAAGGCGTCACTGGAGAACTAGGCAACTGGATCTCTCCTTCCAACATGGACCAAGCCATTCTGGAACGATTTCCAGGATGCATGAAAGGTTTAACAACAGATCATGGTTAACTTGGTCCAACTTGGTTAACAACAGATCTTCTAAGTAACAATCTCATTTTAGGTCGAACGATGTACGTGATCCCGTTCAGCATGGGTCCAGTAGGGTCTCCGCTCTCCAAAATTGGGATAGAGATCACAGACTCCCCTTACGTGGTCTGCTCGATGAGGATAATGACTAGAATGGGAAGCAAGGTCCTGGAGAGCCTGGGGGAGAATGATTTCGTCAAGTGTCTACACTCTGTCGGTGCCCCAAAGCTGGACACCAAAGTCACCGTGGTGTCATCGTGGCCATGTGATCCAGAAAGGACCATCATCCTCCACAGACCAGCTGTGAACGAGATCGTCTCTTATGGAAGCGGTTATGGAGGAAATTCGTTGCTGGGCAAGAAGTGTCTTGCTTTGCGAATTGGCTCGACCATTGCTAAGAGAGAGGGTTGGCTAGCCGAACACATGCTTGTACGTAATGAAACTGAAACAGTTCTAGAGATGGTAGTCAATGTAGAAGAACAATATATTGGTCCTTTTAACATGTTAACCATCGAGAGTCTATTAACCCTTTTATGGTGTCTCGGGGTCTTTCACGAACCCAGTAAAATTTCCAGCAGTTACCATTTGTAGATACTAGGTATCACGAGCCCGACGGGTAAAAAGCGTTACATTGCTGCTGCGTTCCCCAGCGCCTGTGGCAAAACGAACTTGGCCATGATGCAGCCGACCTTACCAGGATACAAGGTCGAATGCGTGGGCGACGATATTGCCTGGATGAGATTTGACAGAGAAGGTAAACTGCGTGCCATCAATCCAGAGAATGGATTCTTCGGGGTCGCACCGGGCACCAGCTTCGCTACGAACCCAAACGCCATGAAGACCATCTTCAAGGACACCGTGTTCACCAACGTCGCCGCTACCAGCGATGGTGGAGTCTTCTGGGAGGGTCTGGAGAAAGAGATCAGTGAAAACGTGGAGGTAAAATCCGGTCAGGGAATCAGGGATTTGATCAGGATCCTCAGTTCAAGTATTATATACGGAAAATAGGAAATACAATTTTGTTTCAAAGAAGAACGTAGTATGCTTCCTCCAATGGAGTATAGAAAGTAAAGATTAATTACTTCGAATTAAATTATTGTAGATCACCGATTGGCGTGGGAAAAAATGGACCAGGGAGTCGAAGACACCTGCTGCACACCCTAACTCTAGATTCTGCAGCCCTGCAAGACAATGTCCCATAATTGATCCAGCCTGGGAAGATCCAATCGGTGTCCCTATAGATGCCATCCTCTTTGGAGGTCGTCGACCAGAAGGTGTTCCTCTAATTTATCAGGCTCGAAACTGGCAGCATGGCGTCTTCATTGGAGCCTCGATGAGATCTGAGGCTACTGCTGCTGCCGAGCACAAGGTAAGAATGCTGAGAAATCTAATCTAAAAGTCTAGATATCAAACATCTGCTGATATGAATGTTGTAATTAACTGTCTTTGATGATCAGAGCAAGGTGATCATGCACGATCCGTTCGCAATGAGGCCATTTTTCGGCTACAACTTCGGCCACTATCTCAGCCACTGGCTTAGCATGGAAAACGTGGAGAACGCGAAACTTCCGGCTATATTCCACGTGAACTGGTTCAGGAAAGGGAACGATGGGAAGTTCCTTTGGCCAGGATTCGGCGAGAATTCTCGTGTCCTAGACTGGATCCTTCGCAGGGTCGACGGTGAGGACATCGCTGTAGAATCTCCCATCGGTCTTCTGCCTAAATTAGACTCTTTCAACTTGGACAACATGAAGAACGAGGTGAACATGGATGAGTTGTTCAGATTACCAAGAAACTTCTGGCAGAAGGAAGTCGAACAGCTCAGGCATTACTTCGATGCACAAGTTGGCGATGATTTGCCCGAGGCCATTCTCTCTGAGCTCGATTTTCTAGCCAGTAAGGTAAACAAGCTCTAATTGAGCACTCCTAATATCCTTTTTCGAGGAAAACTGTTGCTTCTATCTCACGACTTTTATTATTTTTGGGGGGACCTATGTGAGGTCCAGGATCGAAGGTTTTATGGTGGACATAGTACTCTAGACGTACTAGATAATAATTGTTTTTTTTTATCAAAGAATGATTATTGGATTGCTGTTTAAAACCATGAATGTATTACAATGCTTATTGTCCAAACATTTGTAGCATTATCATTTGATACCGGTCACGCTGATACTGGTTTTTCGAAATTATTTTCTTCAGATTCCATCTTCATTTTCATCTTCATTAGGACAAGTATTCACACTCCTTAAAATAGTATACAAGGGAAAAATGATTATGTACCAAGAGATATGTATTTTTAAACATTATTTTTTCAATAAAACACTATGGAAAATAAAATGGACTTCCTGACGATTTTTATTGCTAGAATCGCAAACAAATAGTTCATGATACGACAGAACCAATTTAAATGTTTTCTTTTTTAATAAAACATCAATGATTTGTTTCGCTAATTACATTTATTGACCCAATACTTCAATCATCTAAGTACTATCAGTGAAAGACTTCATATATAGGGACATTCAGAACTGTACATTTGTAGGTATGTTACAGAGTTATTGCAGTTCGTATACATGTACAATAAAATGTTTGTTTTAGAATGAACTTAACAACAATTTCCAAAATCTGTAGACATTGCTAGTCAAAGATCAAAATTCTATCTTATTATTTCTGTTCAATTTATCTAGGCGTTAATTATTGAGAAGAAAATTGCTGCAGTCGCTTTATAATGTTGCACTTTTTAAAAATTGTGTTATCGAATAAAAGGTAACTCAATTTCTATAAAATATTGCACTTCCTAGAACGGTTGTTTCCTTTTCCGGAATTTAAACTAGTGCAAAAAGAGGTACACTATGCAA